GAGCCCAATGCGGGGCTCGATCCCAGGACCCTGGGATCATGACCTGAGCCGAAGGCAGACGCTTAACGACTGAGCCACCCAGGTGCCCCAAGTCCGGCCCCTTCTTAGCCACATCTCTCAGGCTCTCTGAATACGGGTATATTAGGACAAGTCGTGTTAGCTGCTATAACAAACAAACCCCAGACCTCAGTGACTTAACAGAATGTAAGTCATTCACTGCAAGTCCACTAAAGACATTCCTGGTTGGCAGGACCTTCCGTGAGGTCGTTCCGGAATGTAGACCCTCTCTATATGAAGGTTGCACTCTCCTCAGGGTCCTTAGAATCCTCTCCACTCATCAGCACATGGGGGAAGACAGAGTGAGGGATCGCGTGAGACGCTTCTGTGGGCCAGGCCTGGAAGTGGTGCCTCTGAGTTCCACCTGCGTTTCACTGGCCAGAACTCAGCTGTCTGGCCTCATTGAGCTGCAAGGGTCACTGGGAAATGTAGTCAAGCTCTGTGCCCAGGAGGCAGGGAAACCATGTTTGATGAACGACTGCTGGGTCTCTGCCACGTTTGGCCTCGGCCTGGTGCAGCTCTCACGATGCCGCAAGGCAGCAGAAGGGGCCGAGCTCTCATGTGGCCCGGATCGCGCCTGGGCTCATGTGCCACCCTGGCTCTTGTCCCCGCTGCAGACATCTGTCCCTGCAGCTCTCACCCGCACTTTGTTCTGTTCTCTGGTGCAGCAGCTCGCATCTGAGGCTTCTTCTCATTTGAACCACTCCAGTTTGACTCCATCCACCCATCCCTGTGCCTTTGCCTCTGGACAAATGGCTACGAGTCCCTTTCTGGGTGGGAGCCCACAAGGAGGCTCAGACGGAGGTGCACAGACCTCTGCTTTCCACTGTCTCTGGGCTGCCTCCATCCCTTTTCTAGCACAGCCATTGCTGTCCTGGCTGAGGAGTTTCTAAGGATAAGAGATGCAGATCACATACCTTAGCCCTGTGTGCACATGGCTGGCTTTGGAACTGGTTTGGAGCACTGTAATTACACCAAATCAAAGTGGCCCTGTGTTGGAACCCTCACACATTCTGGCAGCAATGCAAAATGGTGCACGACTTTGGAGAATGGTCTGGCAGCTCCCCCAGATTAAACGGAGTTACCACATAGTTCAGTAATATCACTCCTGAGTATATACACAAGAGAACTGAAAACACGTTAACCAAAACTTATGCGTGAATGTTCATAGCAGCATTATTCATAATAGTAAAAAATTCGAAACAACCCAAATGTCCATGAAATGACGGAAAACTAAAATGTGGTACAAGACATGGTGTCCTGATACGTGCTACAAAAGGGACGAGTCTTCCAAGTATTATGCTGTGTGTGAGAAGCCAGACAGAAAAGGACATACATCGTATGATTCCATTTACATGAAATGTCCAAAACAGGCAAAAACACAGAGACAGAAAGTAGATTGGTGGTTGCCAGGGGATTGAGACTGACTGCTAACAGGAAGGGTTTCTTTTGGGGGTGATAGAAATGTTCTGGAATTAGATGGTAAGAATGGTTACACAACATTGTAAACATACTAAAACACCTGCATTGTATCTAAAACGACGGGGCAAGGAGACAAGACTATGTACCATGAAAGGGGTTCTGCCTCTGAGGCTCCCTTGCTGGTAGCCTTGCCCTCGACCTTGACCTCGGCTGCAGCGGGCTCTTGGCCCCAGCCTCCCATCTTGGCCCTGACTTGCCTCCTCTGTAGCCTTCCTTGCTCCTGCCCCCCTGGTTTTGACTGACCACTGTGGCCACATCCTGGCTCCTGAGTACGTTGAGTCATGCACTCAGCCAGCCCTTGCTCATTGAGCACCTACTGTATGCTGGGGCTTGTGCTAGACCAGGGGGCCCAGCGGGAAGCCCACGGAGTCTAGGCTCACACCATTTTCCTGCCGCTGCTTCTGCTTGCTACGTGAGGCCTGGCTCACAGTAGGTCTGCCCGCTGACCTGGGGCAGTGGCCCCCACCTAGGCAACACACAGAAGGGACAAGATGCTGCCTTCCTGGGGCTCCCAACTGACGCACCTGCCCTGGAGCAGTTTCAGCCGTCATGTGTAGCTGCTTCTCGTAAAATCCTTCATGAGAAGGTGTCTGCTCAGACTCACTGTTTATCCTTTTCCCTCTCCTGGCTTTTTTCATGCACACATACACTTACACTCACCCAGACCAGGCTTACGGGTGGGGGCTGAGAGAGACAGTCCAGGCCTTCACATTTGATGACCACACTAATTGGCCTGGTTCCAGGTAAAGACTCCTTTGAGCAGTAGGGTTGCAAAGGCGAGAGCTGAAAGGCATCTCACGCCGTAACCTCAGCCCGCCGCAGTTACTCGGGACCAACTGGCCATTGCTGCCGAATGTCCCCTTCCCCTTCCTTACTCCCTTTCCCTCCTAGAAATCAGTCTAACCCTTTCCCAAAGAAGCCTTGGAGTGCAGGTGATGCCTGGACGGGGGCTGGTGGGACAGCAGTGTGGGGCCAGGCAGGGGCTGCTGGCTGCGGAGGAGCGGGGCTGTGGCAGGTGGTGGCCACGCCCCGCCCTGGCCTCCAGCGCTGGCCCTCAGCACCCTTGTCCGAACGTCCTTGTCACCCTTGGTCGTTGTAGTTTTACATCCTAGCACATAGCGGCTGATGCTTGGCCACCGCGGCGGGCTCTCAGCCAAGTGGACTCAACCGTGAGCTCTTGCCCGGGCCCCCCAGGGCATCGGGATGGCTCTTTCCTTTCTGTGTCCCTTTGACGTCCAGGGCAATTCCACGTACCAGCCTCAGCCCCAAGCATAATGCCGGGGCCTCCTTCCGCTTCCCATCACTCCCAGCCAACACTTGGGAGGTGTGAAGAGCCGCTCTCTTGCATTCCCCAGGGATTGCTCGCACCTCAGGGGATTCATGTCGCTGGGGCTGCATCCTTGATGTGAGAAACCCAAGCTCACTTGTAAGGGCCCAGCCTCCCCCTTATGCCTCTCTGCACCCCCTTTCTTAACTGAGGTGCTCGGCTCCCCGCTGTCCATCAGCACACTGGGTTGCTCGGAGCAGACATTTCTGCTTGGTTTTCTTCCAGTGAAAGATGACCAAGAGGCTGTGCTTTGTTTCTACAAAACCGCCAAGGACTGTGTCATGATGTTCACCTACGCGGAGCTCCCCAGCGGGAAGTCCAACCTGACGGTCCTCAGGGAGCCAGGTGGGTCGGGGCCAGCTCTGTCTGCTGCCCTGGGGAGCTCCGCTTCTGACACCTTCCCCTGCCCTGGGCTTGTGGCCCTGTGTCCTCACTGCCTTTCCAAGCCGCAGAGTGAGGAGGGTCTAAGGCCGCCCCTGCCCAGCTCCTGGAGTTTGGCAGAAAGGTGGGCGTACGCCTGAGGACCCGCTGCGGGTGGGGCTCTGGAGGTCACGGCCTGGAGGCTTGGGAGCTAGAGGGTCTCGTCTCGGAGCAGCCGGAGCTCGGGGGGACGAGAGGCCACAGCACACACTTCACCTGCGTCGCTGACGGCGGTGAGCAGCTGCAGCTTCCGCAGAGGGCGGCCGGGCGGGTCAGCGCTTGCGTCGGGGAGCGGCCGCCACACTGCCCCCGCCGGGAAGGGCCGGTGTAGCTCTGGGTTACACGGCCGCGCTCAGCTCCTGGGCCCCTGCGGAGGTCAAGCCTTCGTGCGGATATCCCTAATTCTACCTCCTGCTTTGGACCCAGGGCCCAATGGCCTTTTGCTTTGGAGTATTCAGGGTTTCCAGCATGACCCTTTTTCTTCTTCTCTGGAAGGGGGGCAGGGGTGAGGAGAAAAAGGGTTGCTCCCTTCAATTTACAGCATTGCAAACTGTTTTTCCAAATTGAGCCAGACCACATAATGTGCCTTCTCGGGGCCAGCGGCAGAGGAAATGCTGTGGTACCAGCCCAGGAGGCAGGCCTGCAAGAATGAGGCTTTGTTTCCAGGTGCTGTCTTTGCGGTTCTTTGAAAATAAGCACATCTGCTGCAAAGGGCCACACTAAGGGCTTACAGATGTTGGCTGGCCCCCAGCCCAGCCCTCGTGGGCTTCATGAAACCTCCTCCCTGCCCAGTCTGCTCCTGAAACCGTTTACATGAAGGCCGAGGCAGGTCCAGTCTGGAGAATGGAGACTGGACCAGGCTGGGGCCTGGGCACTCACATGAGGGGAGAGGCTGCTGAGTACACAGTGCACACGGCGTGTGGGAGTGAGGGGGGCGGCCGCCAGGGCTCTCGTCTACGTGTTGCCACAGGTAGACTTGCTGTGGTTTGGAACAGGAGCCATCCCTCTTGGACTCTTCCCCTTTATGTGCACTGGAGAAAACTTCCACCCCCCCCCGCCCCCCCAGGTCACCCAGAAGCACTGTGGGACCTAAGAGAAGAGAGGGAAGGCATTTTTAGAGAGGCACACGTGTCGCTCCAGATAGACCTGAGGTGGGGGTGGGGATGGGGCAGTGTGCAGGGCCATGCTCTCCTGGTGGTTCCGCTCACCCTGCCTCCTGGTCTCCTCCAGAGTGTGGAACTGCCCCGGATGCCACAACCATCCTCCTGGCCGTGGTGGGCAGTATCCTCCTGATTGGGATTGCGCTCCTGGCCATCTGGAAGCTGCTTGTCACCATCCATGACCGGAGAGAGTTCGCAAAGTTCCAGAGCGAGCGGTCCAGGGCCCGCTATGAGATGGTAAGCCAAGGGGATGCTAGAAGTAGAGAAAAAGTCAAGCTTAGCGGTCTGGTTGAGGTCCCACAAGCTTTAAGGCCCGCTAACATCTTTGGCATTCAAATCAAGGAAACAAAACCTGAGAGGCGGTGTGTGTGGCCAGTTCTGGATGGTGAGAACACACGGCCCAGGAGCACGGGGGGCCCCGTGCAGAGCCCCACAGCAGGCCCAGCTCAGGACCCTCATAGGGTAGAGGCGCGTGGCGCAGCCTCGGAAGGAAGAATCTGGACAGTCCTAGAGAGACTGCAGACTCAGTAAAGGACCTCAAGTTGTTAGTGTCCATTACAGCATCTATTTGTGAGAGTCTTGTCTCCCCTGGCAAACTGCACTTGCCCAAAGGACTGAGCACAGTGAGCACCCCTGAATCCCCAGTTAGTTTCTGTTAAAGTTGGAAGGGACTTCCGAGATCGTCTGGTCCAGCCCCTCGTTTCACAGATAAAGAGTAGAAGCTCCGTGACCGGGAGGGTCTTTCCCAGGTGTGACACCAGCTGTGTGCTCAGGCGGCTGCCTTCCGGGCTGACGGACCGAGGAAGGGCCTCGAACCCTGAGTATGTGTGTTCAAGTGAACGGACACACACGTTCTCTTGCCTTTTGTGTTCTGTAGGCTTCCAACCCTCTGTACAGAAAGCCCATCTCCACACACACCGTGGATTTCACCTTCAACAAGTTCAACAAATCCTACAATGGCACAGTCGACTGACAGCTCCTTTTCCTTGGAGGACCAGAGGGGGCTGACGAGAAGTCAGAGACTGATATGCGTTGGACAGCCGCTCAGCTAGATCACGGCCCCCTAGAGGGACGAGCACAGACAGCTTCCCGTGAGCCTGGGCCAGGAGCCCACTCCCTGCACCGGAAGGCGGCCAGTGTGTCACCTGGCTGCCCGGCCACATCCACGCCAGACAGCCACCCCTCCAAGCCCAGGAAAAGGCCCGGGACCTTGGCGCTCTCAGCTTTCCGCACCACATCCAGCTCGACATCTCCGGGCACGGCTGGGGGCCTAGGCCGCCTCTCCCTTCCAGGAGGGCTGAGCCTCCAGCCTGGCCAGAGGAGAAGGCTCTTGGGAGCATCAGAGTGTGCAAAACCAACACACGCTCTGGCTTCTGTCGTGTTGATCCTTTTTATATGAAATAAAAAGATCATGCATTTATGGTATAGTTCTGATTACTGCGAACTGTCTGCCTGATATCTATCCTTGCACAGGGGTGTGTCGGTGGTGGGATTGTTGAGATGCCTGCTGAAGGCGCATAGTTGCAAATGTCAGTTTTCCAATTCTGTCCGTGTTCGTTTAGTACTTTTGTAACGAAAGGGGAAAAGTTTGGGATTGAAAGTAAAGACTAAACCAAAAGATGTTGTGTTTGCCTGACGCTCTCTGTGACACGCGTATTCCTATCCGAAGTGGTCTTAAGTGGTGCCCTAGTGGGGGTTGAAAAGGCTGTGTCCTTCCTCGGGGGACCCAGCACAAGCCAATCCACTAGTCCAGACCAGGGCTCTTCAAACAGGGCTCCGCTGGGATGCTCGAGGGCAAGCTAAGCCTGGCCTTTGGACCCTCCCAGTTTTGGTGTAAAGAAAGAGCTTCATGCGGGCGCCTGGGTGGCTCAGTTGGTTAAGCGACTGCCTTCGGCTCAGGTCGTGATCCCAGGGTCCTGGGATCGAGTCCCACATCGGGCTCCCTGCTCTGCGGGGAGCCTGCTTCTCCCTCTCCCACTCCCCCTGCTTGTGTTCCCTCTCTCGCTGTGTCTCTCTCTGTCAAATAAATAAATAAAATCTTTAAAAAAAAAAAAAAAAAAAAAGAAAGAGCTTCATGCTAGAAACTGTGAAAACCACCCTACCGGCCTGCCTGCCCTGTTCCAAGGCTGGAAATGGATTGTGCACATGGAGAAAGGTCCAGATGTGACTTCCAGCCACAGTCTCTTTCCACGTGGGGAATAGTTCCCTTCTAGTGCCTTCCAGTCAACTCCCACCTCCCAACCAGGCCCAGAGCACAAAACCCATTTCAGTGTGTTTTCCTGCAGGTAGGTCCCTGAAGTGCCCTTAGGTTCCCCTGTCTGAGATGGAAGGGACTGGACAAATTCTCTGATCCTGTCCCCTGTCCACGTGAGAGGAAAGGGTGAGACGGGCCGTCACCTGCCCAGGGGTCAGGACGTTAGCTAATGGCCTCCCAGTACCTGCTCGCTCTTGTAAAATCTCTTTCACTAATCAGTTTTTCTGCTCTTGGCATCACGTCAAGGCTGTTAGGCTTTCATTCCAAATTTATCTGTCCTCAGCCTTGGACCGATTTCCCTGCCTTCATTTTGGCAAACACGGAGGGAGACAAGTGCCTGTCGGTAAACAAGGCCTCTTACCTGGGGCAAATACGAACGGATTCTGAGTTTCCTTTGTTCTGTGTAATTAGGGTGAAACAGACCTCGTGACTTGGTGAAGCTGCCTTAAAACCTATATTGTAATAAAGCAAATGTAAGTAAATATATAAAAGAGATAAATAAAACAGTGGCTTTGAGACTAAATTAAGAAAAATACAGTTTGGGAAGAAACTGGGTTTCTCTTCTGTTTAATTGTGGGTTTACCTGGAGACAAATCGTTAACTTGTTCAAAGGCTTGTTTTCTATCAGGCGGCTCTGTAAGGGCGCGCAGTTCCTGAGCCACAGACTCTAAAGGACTCTCTGCTCCTGGCGTCCACCTGACAGAAGTTAGGAGATTTCATCTGTGACCCCCACCCTCCCGCCCCGCGCCAACTGCTCACAGTGCCCTGCTGCCCTCTGCTGGGCGCTCCTGGGACTAGCAGTTGGGAGACCGGCCCCCTGAGATTCTGCCCCAACGTGTGATTCTCTTATTCCTTTCACTGCCGCCCCATCACCACCAGCACTCCTCCATGGACACAAATAATGGAGCAGGGGCTCTCAAACCGTGGGCAGACTGACACTACCCTTCCTGCCGCTTTGGAAGCACGCGATGCGAGTTCTAATGATGGCAGAGGGACTAGCAAGGGGCACCTGGCAGTCTCTGGAAAAGCCTTTCCTTGTATCTGGAAGGATGGTCAGGGATGCACTTGTTGGAAAGGGGGGGGTGGGGCTATTTGCCTTGTAATTCATCTATAGTGATTTAATACACCGGTTTCCAAATGGTACTTGTTTTGATTAACTGATTTTGAACAACTTTTTCAAATTGCAAAAGTAATATATGGGAAAAGTGGAAAATAAAGATATCATAAAGAGAGAATCTTTTATAATCATAGCAAGCAGGGTAACCACTCCAGCTTTTTGTGTGTGACTTCAGTCTGTTTTTTCTATGCATATATATATATAATTTTAACCAAATTAGGATGTGACTATCGCTCTCTTTAAAAGGACCAGGGACCCTCATTCCACTTGGTTGACTAGTTCTTAGTCAAACTAAAGTAACAGCCACCTCTTTGTGGGGGAAGAGATGTGTTTTTTAACTTTGTTTAATTGGGATCATAGCTTGAGGTTGATTATCATGAAACTCGGGATGGATTTCAGGTGCCAGCAAACAGATGGGGGAAATGGGAGGGGAAGAGGGGCCTTTCTCTCTGTTCAAGGATCACCTGTTAACTGGCTAGCTCCTCCCTCTCTCCAGAGCGTCTCCCCGCGTGTAGGCTCCCACTTGCTTCTGAGAAGGGCAGCTGGGGTGCTGTGACTTGCTTGGCGACTGGCTGCGAGGGGGCAGTGAGAGGAGGAAGCTGACAGTGCTCGGCTGACACTCAGGAGGAGGTAAGGGTTGGACCCGTGTGTCTGAGGCGCTGAGGGACCCTGGGAGGGGTGTGCTGAGCCAGCGCCGGAGATGCGGGCAGGGACGGGGCGCACTTGAGGCTGGCGGAGTAGCAGGCGCTCGGCTGTGGCTTTCAGCGTGGCTGTGAAGCGGGCCCTCTGGTCCCTCTCACTGGGGCCAGTGGCTGAGGAGGGCTCCTTCGGTTTGTCTCACCTAGCTTCTGTCCTCCCCCAGCTCAGGGCTCCCAATGTTCAGGCCTCAGACCCTGGGGGGCAGGATGCGAAGTGCAGGGAGGCCAGAGGGTGAGAGGTGGTGGTGCTGGTGGAGAGAGCCCTGTTTGTAGAACCCTCCTTCTAGGGGCGCCTGGGTGGCTCAGTCGTTAAACGTCTGCCTTCGGCGTAGGTCATGATCCCAGAATCCTGGGATCAAGCCCCGCATCGGGCTCCCTGCTCAGCAGGACGCCTGCTTCTCCCTCTCCCACTGCCCCCTGCTTGTGTTCCCTCTCTCGCTGTGTCTCTGTCAAAAAAAAAAAAAAGAACCCTCCTTCTCAGCTACCAGCACCCCTCCAGCTGAGCTCGCAGCCTTGGGAGGAACTCTTGGACAGAGTTCCAAATTTAAGTATGTATATGATATCTATACATATACGTATAGGTATACGTACTCGTATGAGTACTCTTCGTATCCGGTTTCTTTCTCTTAAGAGTTCAATGCCAGGAAGTTCTAATGCTTCCTTTTGTCATATGATGGGACCTGCAGGGTCGGGCCTGTTTGGTATCTTGATTGTCAGGAAGCTGGGAACTAAATGCAACAAAATATAACTTACCTTTAATTCTTACTGAGATCTTGATCTCTCCCCTGAACTGTCCCCTCCACCGCCCCCTGCTCAGCCCTCACCCCGTTTCCCCTCTCCACACATGCTTTTAGATCCTTCTGACCATGTCCTGCTGTATCATTCCTTCATCTTAAGGGCCTCCAGTTCTTGTTGCATAAAGGCAAGATCTAAACTGTAAGTAACCATAAGCCCCAACCTTCTAGGGTAGGAGGATACTTAACCTTTTTGTGTCGTGGACCCTTTCAGCGTTCTGGCAAATGCTACCGACTCCTTGTCAGAATAATGCATGTAAATGTGTAAATAGGTAACGTACCAAAAAGCCTGACCTACTTATCAGAGCAACTGGTTACCATTTACCATCTTAGTTTTACTCCAGAAACACCCTAGAAGGCTCACCAATTAAAGCTTTGTTGGTCTTAACCTGCTTAGAATAGCAAACCCCTGAGACTAAAAGCAGCCTCTCCTCCTCACTTGGCCCTCACAGTAGGCCCACAGGGTGTTCAGGGAAGGCAGTTCTGCGTTTTACAAAGGATGAAATTGAGGTCAGTCACCCCCAGGGTGAGAGGGTTGGCAAGGGAGACCCCAGCTCAGGGACCCCTTCTCTATTTTGATGCTCTTTCCTCCTCACGGCACCTTCTGGAAAGCGTGTGACTGACTTCTTATCCTAGAGCTCACATGTAAGTGAAATCATGTGGTACTTGTCTTTCTCTGTCTGACTTATTTCACTTAGCACAATACCCTCTAGGTCCATCCATGTTGTCATAAATGGCAAGAGCTCATTCTTTCTTATGGCTGCGTAATATTGTATATGTGTGTGCGTGTACGCACGCACGCCATGTCTTCTTTCTCCGTTCATCTATCAATGGGCCCTTGGGTTGCTTCCATAACTTGGCTATTGTAAATAATGCTGCAGTAAACATAGGGGTGCATGGATCTTTTTAAATTAGTTTTTAAATTAGTGTTGTCATTTCTTCAGATAGATACCCAGAAGTGGAATGACTGGATCATATATTTCTACTTTTAGGTTTTGTTTTGTTTTTTTGTTTTTTTGAGGAAACGCCATACTATTTTTCACAGTGGCTGCACCAATTTATATTCCTACCACTGTAGGTAGGGTTCACTTTTCTTCACATAATCACCAACACTTGTTATTTCTTGTCTTTTTGATACTAGTCAGTCTGATAGGTGTGAGGTAGTATCTCACTGTGGTTTTGATTTGCATTTCCCTGATGGTTAGTGATGTTGAGCATCTTCTCATGTGTCTGTTGGCCATCTGTAGGTCTTCGGAAAAATGTCTATTCAGGGCTTCTACCCACTTTTTAATCAGGATGGTTTGTTTTTCTTGGTTTTGAGCTGCATGAGTTTTGGATATTAACCCCTTATCAGATATATCATTTGCAAATATCTTCTCTCATTCTATAGGTTGCCTTTTCATTTTGTTGATGGTTTCCTTTGCCATGCAAAAGCTTTTTATTTTGATGTAGTCTCTATAGTTCACATTTGCTTTTATTTCCCTTGCCCAAGGAGACATCCATAAATAGGTCGCTAAGGACAATGTCCAAGAGATTACTGCCTATGTTTTCTTTTATGAGTTTTATGGTTTCAGACCTCACATTTGGGTTTTTAATCCATTTTGAGTTTATTTTTGTATATGGTAGAAGAACGTGGTCCAGTTTTCCCAACACCACCTATTGAAAAGACTCTTCTCTCTATCATATATTCTTGCCTCCTTTGTTGTAGATTAATTGATAATATAGGCATGAGTTTATTTCTGGGCTCTCTATCCTGT